TTTTTTTTTTTTTTTACTTAAAAATGAACCATAAATGTTTGGAAATCACAAGTTGTAGTCTCAACTGCTGTGCCTTAGCATTAAGGAACGTGTGTGTGGAGGGTCATTGGCAGTAGTGTCTTCGCCTTCTCAGCTGCTGTGAGTTTCCATTTCTCTCAGGTGCTTGCTATAAAGATTTGCAACCTCAACTCAGTAAATAAGAGGCATGCAAATCATTTTACTATGAATACGGCACATCTCAAATTAGATTTTGCTATTTACAGTCTCGTGTATGTTAAACATCTTGCTAGTTTTATGACTGAATTTCACTTTCTTTGCCCCTTTATAAGCAAGTTAGATCTCTCAGATGTCAGAGTAATTTTTTTAGAGTTAATTTTCTTTTAGCTCTTAATTTGTAACAGGTTTTAGTTACTTAGTCCTTATGACTTCAACTTTATCCTTAATAGTGACCCACCAAGACTGCTACTCATGTGTTTGGGAACTCAAATTCTTGCTAAAAAATAAGCAAAGAGTTCAAGCAGTACATTTACAAATCATAATAAAAGTCTCTTAGTTGAGAAAGGATTATTGTTTTTTTACATCATGAATTTCCATGGAAATAAGTCTGGCTGTTTATGTTCTGTATCAGAATGTCAAATTACATACTATGTATGATGATTCTGAGCATTTAAGGGAAGAGCCTTTTTGCCTAAGAATGGAGCTTAGATACTGAATGTCCATATTTATTGTATCTGCCCTTACGAGTGATAATTTCATCCGTTTGAGGGCTCTCTACTCTGACCTGGTTACTGTGCTGCGTTTAACAAATAGACATGAAAACAAATCACTGTTAAAGTAATTTGTAAAAACTAAGCAGCACACTATAGAACAGGTTCACTTTCAGGAGGAACTTGATATGGTATGAGCCAGTAAATTTATCTGAAAATGTGAAGCGTGGAGAAAGGACACGGGAAGACAGGGAGGGTGGCTGAGCAGTCACCTAAGATGCTCTGCATGTTGGGCACTTGGGTTTGCCCATCGTAAGAGACGGTCGCATCAGCCAAGCAGGGGAATGGTGTAATCACTCACATTTCAGGCGAGGCATGCGGGCCTGGTCATGATATTCAGTACTCAGAGGCTGAGGCAGGAAGATTACTACAAGTTGGAGGACAGACGGGGTTACAAAATGAGTTCAAAGCCATGCTGAACTGCATAGTGAAGCCCTGTCTCAGAAAAAAATAGCATTTCACAAATTAATTGTTCAGTTACATCAAGGGTGGATTGAAAGAGGCAGGAAGAATACTTAAAATGTGTATCACAAAAATGACAGAAAAAGTAATAACCATTACAGAGGCAGTGACAGTATTCTTGGGATGAAAAAAAGAAAGGTCCTTAGGCGATATTAAGTGATGATGAAAATGATTCGGGCTACAGAATTTTGGTCATTGAAAGTAAAGTCCAGGGCTGGTGAGATAGCTCAGTGGTCTAAAGCACCTACTTAGAACAAGCTCAGCAAAGCACAGGGACCACGGTTCAATCCCCAGCACCACATGCCAGCCGGCCCCGCCCCCTGGTGGGCTGAGCTGGCCACACACACACACATAAATAAATAAATAAAATTTAAAAAAAGAAAGTAAAGTCCAAAGGTAAATTTCAGACTTCATTCTTGAGCAGTAGGAGGTGATGCTGCAGTTCATGTAATACAAGAGAAGAAGCTGGTTTGGAAGGCAAGTTTTACGGGATATCTGGCATGTCTCTTGACCAGATTTCTACAGTTTCTTACTATTGTCAAGATTTTGCTCAGATACCACCTTTTAGATCTTCCTAGACCAGCTATTTAAAAAGTAGAACTTTAAAAATACGTGCTGCAGAGTTGTGATTATTATTTTTTTTTTAAAGGGGGATCCTCATCGGGCGAAAGGTAGCGAGCTGCCGTCCATCTGAGCTTCGGGCTGCCTGGCTGTGCTGTGCCCAGCAGGCACCTTTGCCTTCCCTCTCAGCCCCTCTCTTCACCTGCAGAACCACTTGGGTTAGAGTTGTGTTGGGCATTTTTCAAATTTTATTTTCATTTTTAGATGTGATATATTTGGTTTTAAAAATGTATTGTAATCAACCTGCAATTTTGTTGACACGGTTTTCAGTAAATGAGTAGTAGTGAGGAACACATAAAGTGAACCATTAGAAGATAAAAAGAACCATCATCATAACTTAGGAGAAAGTGTGGGGATCTGGATTACCAGTCTTCCTTTAAATTTCATCGTCTCTTAGAACTGCTCGCATTAAAACTCCATTCTTTAGAATGCTAGTTTAATGAAAATGCCTGCTCTTTATAATGTTAGAATATTAGAGAACTTAATCTGATTTGGGTAACATGGTTGGGCCAAAACTCCCAGGGCGACACCACTGGCCTGCCCCGCGTGGGGACAGCCTGTCACCCCAGTAGAGCCTGTGCTTCAGGGCTAGGTCCCGTGGTGAAGGCTTTCAGTGCAGGGTCTAATTCTTCCAGAAGCCTTGGGAGAAAAATTTTA